CGGGCCTATCCGGGCCGCAACCGACAGACATAGGAGAATCATGCTTGCCATAAACTTCCGGCTCCTCCCCTCTCCCGCTAGCGGCGGCCCCTCCCTCAACTATTCCTCGCCAGCTGTGGCCCCGGCACCGGCGCTCCCAAACTACCTCCTACCCGCTTTGTGTGGTGTCCCGCCTGTCCCGACGTTTTTCTCTGTGCACCTTCCTCTGCCCAGATGTGTTCGTCCGGCCGCAAGGATCTCGTGCGCGCTGGGCGGGGCAAGATCTGCACGGCCGGCGCCTGGGGCCCAACTTTCGCAAAGAACAAAGACAAATTGTCGCCTCCCTCGATATGAGCACGCTGCCCATACGGGTCCTCACCGAAGATAAACTGAGAGTGCGTTGATACAAATACACTAGGCAGAGTGTGCGCATAGTCACAACTTGTCCGACATTTGGGGTGCTGCCGCGGCGGAAGGAGGAGCACGATAGTCTCTAGTTAGAGGGTGCCTTGCCGTCTGCAGGGAGCCATGGCGGCCAGTCGCTATGATGCGGAAGGAAGGAACCGACTGAAAGAAGACGACACTCCACTCTTGAGCCACTCCGCCCATGCCCCCCTCTTGCCAATGGCCAGTCCGGCCCCGTCGCCCACCCAACCAGCCTCCATGGCCTCCCCCGCGCCTTGGGTTGGCAGGAGCACAGCCCCTCCTCGGTAGAAGCCAGCTCCTCGCGTCGGACGCCGCCCTCCTTCCGCGAGGCCCTCTGCTCCACCCATCCAACGGCCAACATTTTGGTGCCCTTTCTGTTTCATCAAATATGAGGGCTTGTTCGGTTTGGAGGAAAAAAAAACGTAGGATTTAGGAGTAGTATATGAATTTGTTAGGATGACACTTGCCATCCTAAGGATTTGTCTTGCTTCGTTCCTATGGAAAAAATGAGGCTTTGAGTGGATGTGTAGAATTCTCCAAAAACAGAGGAAATGAATAGTATTCCTATGAAATTCTTGTATGTGTTTCCTACAAACCGAATGCACCTATAGGAAATTTTCCTTTGGAATCCTTGTTTCTATGTTTTTCCTGTAAAAATCCTCCAAACCGACGAGGCATGAAAATGCAACACACATCTTCACGGATCGTGCTTTTGCTAGGACCATTTGGCGAAAGGTCGACGCTTGGACAAACCTATTGGCTTTCATTCTGGACAGCTGGAGGGGCGACGATTCCCTCCCACAGTGGTGGTCAAACAGAATCAAAACCTCTAAAATCCTTTTGGGCAAAGAGGGCAAGAAAACATCGGCAACTATGGCAATGTTGTTACTATGGGAACTTTGGAAGGAGCAAAACAGAACAGTCTTTCGAAAGACATCGTGTTCCACGGAGAAATTAGACCGGATGATAGACCGGATGATTAAAGACGAGGCCTTGCTGTGGGGAAGGGCGGGCGCTAAGGGTCTGTTCCAGCGGATCCCGGTCGTAACTGGTTAACGGAGTGGGCATGGTTTTTTTTTTTTGTAGTTGTATAATCTTTGTTTTCTTTCTCTTTTCAGTTTGCGTTTGGGACTCTATGATTTTCGTGTTTGTTTTCTTCGGGTTGCCTTGGCGATTTCTAATGATTGAAAGCAGCGCTCATGGTTTTTTAAAAACAAAAAACTATACAATATCATCTCATTGGGAATATTGTTGCTGGTGGCACAACGTCCCAACTTTGTGAATGATGATCAATTTATTTCAATATGAAACGAACAAGTAATGTTCTCTGCTTGCATGTTTCTCAGATTAATATTAACCCATATCTGTGTTCATTTCGGCAGATGACCCCATGTACCTCAAATGATCTGATCCAGTTTGATCCACCTGAGCTCAGAATCCCCTGCTGGCCAAACAAGGCTTCAATGGCATGGCTTAACATAGAAAATATTACAGATTACTATGTTGGTTTCATTGCATCTTTGTTGACTCTAGAAACTACATCTTCGTTGACAAGAAATGTGGTCCCAAGATCGGGTCGAGGAATTCTACCACCACGGTCCACTCAAAGAATCCTTATAAAAAGGGTAGCAAAGAAAAAAGAAACAGAAATAGAAGATATGAAGTGGGAGAACAAGTTCTTTGTGTGGAACATGATTGTGGCTGAAGGTGTCGCAGCTGACAACCTCATTCCTTTCATCACTGAAGAAGTGCCTAAGGAGTTGCCCATAAATCTTCAGAAGGTGAGTTCTCTAATTATGCAATGCAATAGTTTTGCTTTTTGTTACCCTTATCTCTGGCCTCCCATACCATCTAGTAGAATCATGAGGTCTCCATTCCAATGGAATGATCCTTGTGGTGACAATTAACCCTTTGACCCATGTTTTCTTTACATGATAAATATCTTTGCAAACACAATGGAAATATGTTGCAAAATATCAATGGCAGCCAATTTAATTCCTCACTCCTCACTGTCATCTCGACTTGTGATGTGCTTTAGAGCTACTTCACCCATTAGTAAACCTGAATTGCTCCAAAAATTATATCTTGTACGCTGAAGGCGTTTCACACTTAGATCGCTTCCATGTGAAATCATGAATAGGTCAACGATGATTGATTTGTTTCAGTAGAAATGAACTGATGGCGATGTTCACATTGCATCATTTTCCGTGTCATTTTTTCAAGAAAAAAAATCAAGAATTCGTTTTCCGTGCCTTATCCACAGTTCTGTTAATTTTTGCAGATAAGCCCATGTGCTTCAGACGAGCTGATCCGATTTGATCCTCCTGAACTCTGCTTCCCATTCTTGCCCAACAAGACATCGCTGTCCTCGGTTAATATGGTCAACATGACAGATTACTCCATCTATTTTAAGAACTATGTCTGGAAAAAAAATAAGGCGTGGTACGACACAGAACCAAGAAATGGAATTGTGCCACCACGGTCTACTCAAAGACTTGTGGTGAAAAGAGAAACAATGGAGAATGAACTAGAAGATAGCGAGAGCAAAGACAAGTGCTTCCTGCACAATTTCATTCTTACTCAAGATGTCAAAGCCAGTGATCTCCTTTTGTTGAATGAAGAAGGTACGGAGTTGCCCATTGACAACCTCTGTGATTGCGTTGTGGAGAATAAAGATGGTACAGAGTTTCCCGTCTACCACAGCCGTACTTGTCATGTTGCCAACGAAGAGATTACAGAGTTGCCCATTGTTCTTGCCAAGGCGAGCTCCCTAATTTTTGAATGCATTAGTTTTACTTTTTGTTACCCTGTGTATTTGGCCTCCGAATCTTAAACTAAGATTTTAGAATACAAGATAGTGAGCTAGCTCCAAGCACCTTACCTTTCTTTTTACTAGATGATGCCCCGAGTGTTGCTGCGGGAATGTTGGTAAAGCAAATGCATAAATAGATGCTAAAAAACTAAAACTATTGCAGAAACAAATTTGGGAATGCTCTCGGAATATATTGTGAAGACAATGAAGTATATGAAGCAATGATAAAATGTTGTATAAAAGAACAAATTTATTGGGTTGAAGTCAAACGGGGTGCCATTTTTAATAATAAAAAATGTGTAACATGACCTACATATATTTGCTCCAAGTACAAAAATGTAGCGTGTAACATTTAGTGAAACAAATTGACATGCATGCTTGCTGAGGTGGCATGGTTGCATTAATAGATTAGTGCACAAATTGTAACTTATCACCACATGCATGTGACTTGATGATGTGGCATAGTTGCATGAAGAGAAAAAAAATAGGTAGTGAGTTCCAACTATTTAAGAATGGAGGATGAGTGAGTTCCTACTTTAGATGATGGATATGTTTGCAACACAGTGAAAACACATCACTATATTTTTTAGATAATGGAAGCTTTTATTGAACTCAGACAATTACATCAAGATGATACAACCATACTGAGATCACTCCCGCCTCTGCATATCTAAGGTTCACACAACACTGTAATCAGTGATGGTTCACTAGACCGCCACCCAATATGTTCTTTAGTGTCTAGGCCTACAATGTTATTCCTCACTGTCATGCCGACTTGTAATTTCTTCCAAATCCTTAGACTTCTCATAATTATTTAAACCGTTTCTTTTCTTTTAAAACATCAATATGATTTTTGGCTTTTCCAAACAAGCAAAGTGGTTCTGTGTTCAACACTGGTTTGATTAGAAGGTTAAAGCTCTCATTATTCCTAATAATTTTCTTAATAATGATTTCAAAATAATAATAATAATAGTTCGTCATGAAAAAAATCGTTTTTTATTCACCATTGGCCTTTTCAGTCTATATTGCATATTCTAAATTTTAAAATTTTCATCCAAAGTTTTAACAATGTGAAATTTATTTTACATGAGTACTTTAGGGCATCCCAGGCCAGAAATTTTACCCAAATTATGGGGCATTGTAGAGTATCTGGACCATCATTTTTTCATTAATAGTCATTGTAATCATAGTATCAAAAAAAGGACATCTCTCTCCACTCAGCCATAAAGATTAGATTGGTAATTAGTGATCACCGTTTGTGAGGTCATCCAAGTAATTAAGAGAGTTAATAAACCTTGGAACTATATATAAGTTACTACTCCCTCCTTTTTCTTACTCCTCTCTCATTTGGTCTGAGTTTTATACAATCCTCTTTATTTGAATAGAAGGGGGTATATGCCAATTGTAATGCAGACTAGCGGGTTCTATTCGTGTAGCAAAATTTTAAAGTGACTTACAAAAACTTGACATTTTACAAAATATGGTCCCATGAAAATATGTTTACTTATTACAAGTTTAATTTCGAGATAGGAATCAATACTAAAATGTAGTTTTAGTCCATACTAGATTTAACCCCAAAGCATGTCAAGATACATGGACATGAGCCCAACAATTAAAACCGAAGACTCTATCCAGCGAGGCAATTCCAAGGCTTTGTTGACGACGAGTCGCAGAGGTGGCAGAACATCACCGCAGTCAAATCGTTATTGTCTACCTTCAGATTCTTGATATTGCCGCGTCTTCTTGCTAATGCATGGGAGAGTCCCACTTTGGTCATCAAATATTACTTTACCCTACTAGAAAAAAGCGGAATGATGTACTCCCTCCGTAAAGAAATATAAGAGCATTTAGATCACTACTTTAGTGATCTAAACACTCTTATATTTGTTTACGGAGGGAGTAGTTCACACTGCAAGATGATGTTCTCCTATTGCATGATTCGTTTGTACCCCCTCCGTTCCAAAATAGATGACTCAACTTTGTATTAATTTTATACAAAGTTGAGTCATCTATTTTGGAACGGAGGGAGTACCAGTTAATCTACAGCTATGTTCTTTTCTACAGATAAATCCATCTACCTCAAATGAGCTGATACAGATTGTACCCCCCGAGTTATGCTTCCCCTTCTCGCCAAAAAAGAATCTGTTGTCTTTAATAAAGATTGTCAACATTACAGATTACTACATCGGTTTCAATACATTTGGAAAGGAAAATAATGCGGCATTGTACAATACTGAGCCACCGTGTGGAATCCTGTCCCCACAGTCCACACAAGAACTTGTGGTAACAAGGATACAAAAGGGAGATGCACTCGAAGAAACGCAGTGCAAAGACAAGTACATTGTGTGGAGCAGCTTTGTGAATGAAGGTGTTAACACTGTCGACCTGAAAGGATGCACATCTGAGAAGGAGAGTAAAGAGTTACCAATAGTTTTCATGGAGGTAACTTCCCTAATAATGTAATGTGTCAATTTTAATTTTATATACTCCTGCGGTCCTGCCTCCCTCTCCAACTAAAACTAAGATCTAAAGCATGCGAATTGATGCCATCTGAAATTCTGTGGTTACTTTCATTAAAAAATATTGTGGTTACTGGAACCCTTTGTCAATGTCCTTTTAGTGATCTCAGTAGTTCTATGTACTTAATCTGTTTCAAAATAGACTAAAATAGCCTATCAAAACATCTTATATTTTGGAACGGAGGTAGTACATTATTTTTGCTAGTGGGCTCCTTGTACCTTTTCAGCTTTTGCAGCTCAATGAGGACTGCTTGCAGAACATTTACTAATGACTACCGTTGCAATATGTACTGTCATTGCCTCTAAATTTCTCGAGAATAAGACTTCTTGCCATAGTCCAAACATTATATTTTTCTTTTGAATTCTTTGAGGAAGTAGTTAATCATATGAAATTGTTCCATGTTTGAACCTAGTGGCATTACAATGTTAAGAACACCCGTTATTACTTTTTTTTTAAACACTCGTTATTACCATGCTACCCACTAGCTAGTCCAAAAGTTCAAACCATCTTTTCATACAAATCTTTCAGAAAAGAAATGTTCCTTTACCAAAAAAATCAATTCAGATTTCTTATTTTTTATACTTATTCTGAATTAAATATTTTGATATAAAGTTCCCACAAGTTGGAATTCAACTCTACTTCAGAATAAGTCCAAAAAATAGTCAACATATGCATCCTCCACTTCGAGAACCCGACACTCTACGTTCATCAAATCATTCCAGAACGTTTTTAATGACAAGGCATGCGTAGAGGTGGGGGACTGTTAGGAGCGCCAACTATTAAATGTTACCCATTAGCTTGTCATGGTTGTTATGTCAGAAACAAATAATGTATTGTTGCAATGTTGCTTGGAATCTTGGTCAATGATGCTTGGGGTTACTCAAGTCGAAGGATAATGATTGTGTAGTTTACACGGGAAGATAATGTACTCTACTTAAATATTCTTATGGGACCAATTGATCCACAGCTATTTCTTTTTCTTTCAGACAAACTCAAATGAGTTGATTCAGTTTGATCCTCCTGAGCTCTTTCTCCCCTTGGTTCCAAACAAGAGTGTGTTGTCCTCAGTGAACATAGTCAACCGTACAGATCACTTCATCGGTTTCAGTATATGCACCAAGAAAAGCAATTCAGCAAAGTATTTCACAAATCCGTCAGAAGGAATTCTGCCACCACGGTCCACACAATTACTTATGGTAACAAGCATAACAGAGGAAAAGGAACTGACAGACATGCATTGCAAAGACAAATATATGGTCTGGAACGGCATTGTGAGTGAAGATGTCAGTGATGTCATTGATAGCATAAAAAAAAAAAGGGCAACCTGGTGCATGTAGCTCCCGCTTGCGCAGGGTCCAGGGAAGGGTCCGACCACTTTGGGTCTATAGTACGCAGCCTTTCCCTACATTTCTGTAAGAGGCTGTTTCCAGGACTTGAAAACATGACCTCATGGTCACAAGGCAGCAGCTTTACCACTGCGCCAAGGCTCCCCTTCATGTCATTGATAGCATGTCTGAGATAAAGATTACCGAGTTGCCCATTGTTCTTACAGAGGTGAGTTACTCTGTTTTATGTTTTTGTTTACCCTTGTATTTTTCCTCTTGACCCCTAGAAAGATCTAAATACCCATTAGTTAATTACCCCCAAACTCATTTGCATACTGAACCTTTGGAGCTCCCGAACCTGTTACGTTAGGCAAATTTTAAGCTAGTGAGCTCCTTGTACCCTCTTCAGTTCAGAACACTTTTTGACTTGCTTATTTAGATTATTCTTCTCTTCTTAAATACGAATTAAGACAAACAACAAACACTGGTAAACATTCAAGAATAATAGGAGATGTATATATTTGAGAGCATACGAAAAGAACAGTGAATCAAACGAAGTGCCAATGAGTACAGAATTGGAACACTACAGCTTTTGATGCTTAGTGGTTACATTTATAGAAGTAGCATACGCTTAATCCATGTGTTTGTTCTGTTTTGCAGACAAGTTCACCGGCCTCATACGAGCTGATCCATTTTGATCCACCCGAACTTTTCTTCCCCATCTTACCAAACAAGAAGGTGCTGTCCTCAATTAAGATAGTCAACATTACAGATTACAATGTTGGTTTCAATACATATAGCAGGCCAACAAATGCGGCATGGTGTCACACAGAGCCAGCAAGAGGAATCCTGCCACCACAGTCCACACAAAAACTTATGGTAACAAGGGAACGAAAGGAAGAGGCATCAGAACATATGCAGGTCAATGACAAGTACTTTGTGTGGAACAGCATTGTGACCGAAGGTGTCAAAGACAGCGACCTTGGTGATTATATGGTTGAAAAAGAGAGCAAGGAGTTGCCTATTGTCCTTAGCAAGGCAAGTTCACTGGTTATGCAATTATTATTGATTTTTGTTTTGAAAAATCGTTCCCATTTAGTTTTTCACTCTCTGATACCCAAATAAAATGTCTAAAATATCCCAACAATCAACCCCAAGGACCCAAACAGAATCACGAGGTTGCAACTGTAGGATCCTCTTGCCCGTGTCGCTCCCGCGGGCAGCTCGGGAGAAACCCCAGCCGCCGCCGACACCCACCCCACCTCCCTCTTACTCCTCCCACTGCCGCCGGAGGGTGTCGCCGGGGACGGCTCTCCCTCCTCTTGTCCAGACGTGGCGCCGGAAACTCACGTGTGAACAAGGGCACGCATCGGCAGTGGTGGCGCCGTGTCGTGCGGAGTCTCGGACTGCTCGGTCAACCAGGAGATCCAACACCGCTTTGTCACGAGGAGCTCCAGCCCTAGATCTAGCTCCCTTTGGACAGCGGCTTGCTCCATTTATCGGCGGTCCCCACGCCCGTGATCGGGGCCTGGTGGCGCATGGCGGAGATGGTGGTCAGCGCGGCATGTTGGCTCATGCGACGTGGTGACTGTGGTGAGCTGCCGTGCGCAGTCTAGGGGCTCTCTATGCCCAGATCCAGCTTGCACGGCCATCAGTGACCATGGCTGCGTCTGGGGGTCGGTAGTGGCTGTTGTTGGTGGGGTAGGCGTGTGGTGGTAGGGTGGTGTGGCTGACGGCGAGGGAATGGGTGCGGGTGGCAACTGAGGCCGATCCAACTCTGTGCGCAAATGCTCAAGGTGAGCGGATGCGATAGCCGAAGTCTCTTGCTGGACCTAGCAGGGACGGTGGCCGTGGACTGGTGGGAGGGGGAAGGTTTGAGCTGCCGGACTCGGTGGCCGGCGTTTGCAAAGTCGGCCGGGCCGGGATGCTTCAGATGAAAGCCTAGTGCCAACCTCATCGGCAACAATGATAGCGACTCCCCCGGGCGTTTTTTCCCTTCATGAAGATGTCATTGGGGAGCTACCATTGCCCGCTATTTTCCGGTGCTCCAGGCGAGACCAGACGATGATGACATCTTTAATGTTGTTTTCCCCCTTGGGGGCGTTGTTTTAGGAGCCAGGGATCCATGGTTGGTTGATTGATGTCTGGGTTGGAGCGTTGGCTTAGTTTGTTGGATTATAGGGCGGTGGCGGTGGAGGTGCTCTGTGGTGGCGACCAATGCCTTGGTCATCCTATGCTGATGGTTGACCTCTCTTTTTGGTGGCTCGTGGCGGCAGTGAGGTCTCGGTGTTCGATTTCCTTTGACGGCGTCTGAGGTTTGGTGGCCTCGCATAGTGCTCTGGTTCTCTCTAATTGTGATGGTGGCCATGGTGTGGCCCAGAGGAGGTGTAGGACTGTCTCGGCGGAATATTTCCCTTCGGCACGGCTCTTTCTGTCGCGACGTTCCTAGGCAGTGGGATGCCCTTCGACGATGGTTGCAACTTCCTAGCTCTTCAAGGTGCAGAGTGATCGCACAACAGGTGACTTCTTCTCTATGTCTTCTCGGTGGCGGATCTCCCTTTGACTGACCCAACAAAGCTAGCTCCCTCTCTTCTTGGTCCGCTCGTGGTGATGATTGCAAAGTTCTTTGTGTTGGCTGCTTGTTATAACTCGCTTCTGGTTGTCCTTCTGTTGCTCCTTGTTTCCGTGTCGGGTGTTGTTGTTCCTTGTTCCTTGTTGTGTGTGTCAGGTGTATCTGTTGTACCCATCATGCTGTATGCCACTCTTATTTATAATGAAAATAGTTCATGCCGGCGTCAGCCCGCCGTAGCACCGTCAGAAAAATTGTAGGATCCTCTTTTGGTAAGTGGTGACGATTCATTAGAGCCCAATGAGCTGTGTAGACTGCATCACTGCCTCGGCCTGAACCAACTGCCGCAGACCACTGAGCTTCAAAGTCTATTCTCAGCTCTGGTGCAGGCTCCGACGTGGCCTATGAGTCATGGCTACTCTAATGCCTTCCACGCTTCTTTGGGCTGTAGTCTATGGACAAGATGGCAGGAGCAGATGGAAAACGAGCGGCATGGCAATTGAATAGAGCACTGGATCGCCGGTGCCCTGCCCTCTGCCATATTCCTTCCCTGAACCGATCAACTTCAGGGGCTTCCTCCTTAAATCCAACCACACCGCCGGTCGCCGGGTTACCATTAAAAAAATTGATACTAGTCTTAGATCACTTTAGTTACTTCAGCATAAACGAACTGAGAAAGAAGTTTTCTCATTGCATATTTCTCCGTGTCCGATCAGTACATAGCTTCATAATTGTCTTTATTTTGCAGATAAGCTCATTAACCTCAAATGAGTTGATCCAATTTGATCCCGCTGAGCTCCACTTCCCCTTTTCGCCGCAGGAGATATTTCCGTTCACGTTTGATATAATCAACATTACAGATTTCAATGTTGCTTTCAATGTATATAGCGTGGTAAAGAATGCAGCAAGACGTAAAGAATCATTTATGGAAGGAATTCTGCCACCAAGATCCACTAGAGAAAGCACGATGGTATGGCAATTGAAGGAAATGGGACCAGGAGGCAAGGAGTACGAGTTAGAAGACAAGATATTTTTTTGGAGCCGTCTTGTGACTGAAGGTGTCGAAGCTAGAGACATCATTGGTTATATGAGTGAGGAAGAGAGTAAAGAATTGCCCATTTTTTTTCACAAGGTGAGATTCTAAATTATGCAATGCATTGTTTTTTATTTGTATTACCCTTTCTATTACTACGTCTACAAAGGATACCTAAAGCTCATGATCCATTGCATAAAAGTGATTGTAATCATATTTAGAGCTCATGCAATCCACAAAGAAAGAGGTTAATGCTACATAGCCACTTGCAGAAACCCCGTTGCCTCTATATGGATTATGGACTACTCATAACTCTTTTTTTTTTTGAGAAAGCGCAAAAATCTTGGGCTTCATTGCATTGAAAGGGTAGGAGAATAGGTTCATGCACAAAAGGGTAGAGTACAAAGTAGTAGGAAAAAAGAATGTGCTAATTAAACAACATCCACAGGGGTGGGAGAATAATTCTTAAGCCCCTTAACGAAAAAGGGTTTCCCCCCGCTTTATATTATAAAACATACCACCAAGCGTCCAACATCAAGCATCCAACATTAAGGTACAAGTACAAAAAGTCAACGAACATGCTGGGGGCACAGCAAGACAAACCC